ATTCCTCTCGCCGATTCAGAAAGTAATTATAACGAGAGTAAATTTATTTTAATTGATCGCAATTGTGTTCCATGTAAACAAAAATATTATAATTTGCCGAGAATATTTGCATGTTCCTTTGCAAACTCTCCCTGAAACAGACGATTTTGTGCTTTCAGTAAGATCACCATAAAGAGCTAATTAAAACTCGTTTGGTGCTTCACTTAGCATACAGGAAACAAGGCCATTACACAGTGCTTGTAGTAGCATCTGTTCATTTTTTCTGTTTCTTCAGGAAGTCCACGGCACGTAAAGAAGTTGTTTTCTAATTAATTCTTATGATAGATATGAGGATACGTTACATGACTGTGTTCTTAGACGCTGTATTAATCATGCGTCATTGACTCGGCAGAGGAATTACACATTAATTATACTCATTGGGCTTAAACATGTTGCAACCTACTCTATAACTATTAAAAAATCGAAAGCAGCGAAACTCTCTACATTTACATCCACATATTTATATTCATTACCAATACCCATTTTCATTTTTCCTTTTGCAAGTAAACGCTTTCCCAAGCGAAATGCGTTGAGTGAGAGAGAAAAAAATCTGTTACAGTATCAGCTACAAACAGATTTTCCGTAAAAATCAAAATGAGTTTCTTTGTCATTCACATTACGATGGTCAAACATGACAAAGCCAAAGCGAAATTCAATGCTGTAAAAGATTAGGAAATTAGGAAAAAATAGGAATCGAGTGTACGTCATAAATATCTTGATAAAATTTGCTGTAATTTACATCAAACTTGTATTGGTCTCAGTTATATTTTGATAAGCACCATGCTTGTTAGTTTAAGTCTTTAGTATTAATGGTAGTGTCAATAATGTGAACGCTTACGGAGGTGTGATAGTATCGTTGTAATAATAATAATATCAATAATAAAAACAATATTTAAGATAATGACGGTAGTAATAATCAAATGTATTATTATTATCATAACATTATTATTGTTTGTTTGTTTTTCTTTTCTTTTTTTGCATTTAAACGAGCGCTCTCTGCATTGACAATTGCTATCTTATCGAAAGGGTGATTTAGTTTTAAAGATTATTTCAGTTCAGTTAAATTCCTGTATCAAACGTGGTAGGTTTGCAATGTCTTTGGAATTTCCTTTTATTGATGTTATTTTCCCATTCTGACTTTTTTCCTGGTTATTATTATTACTGTTATTATTATCATTATTACTGTTATTATTATCATTATTACTATTATTATTAGTATTATTATTATTATTATTATTATTATTATTATCATCATCATTACTATTACCTCCGCCAAGGAGGTTATGTTTTTGACGGCGTTGGTTTGTTGGTTTGTTTGTTTGTTAGCAGCGTAGGTCAAACAGTGCTGGCCGGATTTCATCGAAATTTTGGGGACAAGTCAGAAAGGGACTAACTTAGAACTGATTAAATTTTGGTGACATTCCGAATTACCGTCTGGACGCACCTTGACGGAGGTCTGCACTCTCTGTGTGCTTTTCTAGTTATTATTATTATGATCATCATTATTACTATCATTATTATTTATCATTATTAATTATAAATTATTATTATTATTATTATTATTATTATTATCATTATTATTATTATTATCATTACTTATTTATTATTATTATTATTATTATTATTACTATTATTATTATTATTACTATTATTATTATTATTATTATTATTATTATTATTATTATTATTATTATTATTATTATTATTATTATTATCATTATTATTATTATTTTCTCGTTTTGATTTTTGTTATTATTTTCTTCTATATTTTGGTCACAATCTTTTAGGATCTTCTCGTTTGTTTTTTTCTTCATTATTCTTTCATTTTCCCCACAAGTCTCCCCAGTTTTACTTTCCCTCGTTTAATTCCACGCGGTTTTATACAAGAAAAACTCTGCGGGTTTGCTCGCCTCCTTTCAAATACAGCGGCACCCCCCCCCCTCCTAATCTCGAGAGAAAATACAACAGCTTCTTTATAATATGTTGCTATTACTCCATCGATATATTTTTATAATTCAGACTAAATAAATATCTAGCAATCGGCTTGATTCAGTTTAAATATCGAACGTTCACTTGTGTTGTTTTTTTTTGTTTTTTTTGTTTTTTTTACTTTGACACATCGTAAAAAAAAAATGCAAAATAACTTTTTTTCTTCTTTTCTTTTCTTTTTCTTCTTTTTTTTTTTTTTTTGGTTAACCACATTCATCTCCTACAAAACAGTTGCTACAATCAGCATAAAAATCATATAAGGTTACTCCATGTCTACACAATTATCAAAGTCCTTTTATTTCTCCAGAAATTTTAAAATAAGGAAGGGAGAGACATATCACAAGTTACAACCACTTTAAAATAATAAAAAGATGAAAAGAAAGTGAAAGAGACTATTGAAAATGAACCACAAAACAAATGTTAATTCAATATAACTATGTTATTAATATTCACAGATTTAGGCATTCCTGAT